GACCCTGAGTTCTAAGTGGCTACACAAGCCTCGGAAAGGGAAATGAATAAAATTACCATGTCAGTTCCTGGGATTGTAGAATCATAGGTCTATTTTTTACATTTATTTAGCCCGCATCACTAGCATGTCTACTTTCTTCTGCTTCCATTTGGTGAAAAGAGGGTAGTCATAACTACTTAGCTTATAAATTGAATTTTGAAAAGAATATGAAAAACCTGTAATAGAAAAATATGTAGGAGGTATTATTTTCTTGCTATGATCAAAGAATTTATCCAACTTGAATGCTATCAGCATTTACTCACTAACCTCCCTTTAACTTCAGATAGCTTTGTTTGCATCAGTTTTGACAACTCAAACTCCTAATTATTCTGTCATTGGTGCCATAATTCGTTGGGATGAAAAATGTATTTCGTTTTTATGTAATCATTTACAGAATGCTATACTACACAATTTGAAGTATACAAACGTGCTTATTCTTCTCTTTTAAATCACAGGCTTTTAAGTTACTTTTAAAAACCGGTGGCTGTGAGCTGAGACTTCTGATCTGACTGGAGGCAAGTTAGACCTTACGGAGGAATAGAACTGGAGCATTGGGCAGGCTTCCAGGACCTGGGTACACACAGTTCCTATTGCCCTCTCGTCTCCTGCGTTCCCCACGACGTGTCACATGGAATCCTTGTATCGCAAGGACTGTATCGTTGTATCTCTGGGTGTGCTTATTTAACTTGCAGGTTCTAGGCCCCAGAAAATTTAACTCAGAATTTTGGGCATTCTGCATTCATAAAATTCTCATAAGTAGTTCCTAAGCATATTAAATTTTGAGAATTAGTGCCTTAGATTTGGGATTGTGGTGAGCTAAGAAAACCTTTCGGGGAGCTCTTAGTATTATTGGCAGTAGAATCTGACATAGAACCCCAAAACTGGATTTGGCTCACATTTCACGCTACTCCATGTCTCTTTTTCCCTCAGTAGCCACTTTCCTCCCCCAATTATGCATTGGTGAGTTTCGATCATTTGCTGACCTTGGGAACTGCGGCGTTTATCCCAGCCGCTTAGGGTCCCTGGCTCGCCTTCTGGTTCACTTGACTGCCAAGAATGAGGCTTAGAAATAAACTAAATCTCCCCTTTCCTCTGCCAGACTTGCTCAGGTTGGTTCTAGGTCATTGTCAGAGAAACTCAGTTTTTTTCAGACTCTCCTTGAAAATGAGGCGGCAGGTCTCCTTGTGACTGCTATCTAGTTCAGCCCTATTACAGAACAGGAGCCGTCAGTCTGCTTATTTCTTCCCTTTAAATGGCTGCCTCTCCTGCAGTTCAGTAGTTTCTGGAAATTGTCTCCTTTATTTTAGAAAGTGCTGTCCCAAATAAATGATTTGGCCACACAAATGAGTTGCAGTCTCTTTCCCTGTTGTTGTGCCTGAAGGTGTGGATAATCTGCTGTCTGCCTCGCCTTTTTCCTGGAGTGTATTCTTCTTAAAGATGGTATCTGTGGTCAAAGACACCTTTTAATAGGCTCTGTGAAAGGTTCACCCTTTTCTGAGATAATTGCTGGCAACTGGGTTAGCACAACACTGAGGCACTTTATTTTTTTATCACTTGCTGTGAGTGAAATTGACTAGGATCATAACCAGCAGGTGTCAAGGGTAAAGTGCTTTTTTGCTGGAGTTTGGCATGTGGTACCTCTCCCCTTGCATGAGAGGAAGAAAAAAAAAGAAGGAAACAGACACAAGATAAACAGACAAATGGGATGTCAGTAGTGAAAGAGTCCCCTCTCGTGCCCCCTACACAGATCTTTTTAAGAATAAAAAGATCTGAACTATAGAATGACATATTGCTTTCATCAGCCAAGATCACATAATGAGGTTTATGGGGAATATTCCAAAATTCGCCATTCTACCATCATAACTTTTCCATGGAACTTATTTTCTTTAGTATTATTTAGATCAATCAGATTTATAGGAAGATCCAAAAGGCCAAGAGTTAGCAGGAAAAAAAATCTTCATGTGGATTCTAATTATTAGCATCACAAATGACTTCATCTTCTGGGCCCACTGCCCACAGTTTACTTACGTTGCTAGTGGTCTATGTCAGACGATGATAGTTAACACGCGTACAGAGCTCACTGCAGGTCAGGCACTGGTCTAAGTATTCTGTGCACATTAACTCACTTAAAATGTCCAGAAACCCTATGAAATGCATGGTACTGCTGTTTTACAGATGCTATAGCTGAGACACAGTGAGGCAAATATCTGGTCCAAGGTCACAATAGTAAGTGGTGGAGCCAGAAGGGTTTCTGTCCTTGTTGCTCAAAGTGTGGTCCCTGGCCCTTAGCACGGCGTCACCTGGAAATTCCGTAGAAATGCAGATTCCAAGGCTCCCCACTCCAGACCAATGGGATCAGCATCTGTATTTTCATAAGACTCCCTAGGTGATTAGTACAGTTATTGTTTAAAAAAACACTGGTTTAAATAATCTTAGACGATTCCTTCTGAACCCTTGAAAAACATGCTTATGGCTTCAGACTTTAGGGAATAAAGTGTACTTGCGTGGTTTATTATGAAAAAGCAGAATTTTAAGGATGATTTTTGTGTTCTCTCCAGCTCCTACCTCTTCCACATAACCACCTTCTCAAGGAAAAAAAATAGTTCAACTACTTAAGAAAAATAAAAATTCAAAAATGTTATTAAATTGTGGCCTATGCAGGCATTTTCATTAAATCATCATAGAAAACCTATGAAATAGGTACTACTATCTCCAATAAAAGATTTAAAAAACTGAGATTAGAAAGGTTAAGAGGAAAAAAAAAGAAAGTAAATCCTAAGAGTTCTCATCAGAAGATTTTTTTCTTATTTCATTTTATATCTTTTCTTTTTATTATATCTATATTAGCTGATGTATGTTAGCTGAAACTTCTGTGGTAATCTTGTCACAATATTTGTAAATCTAACTATGCTGTTGTATTCCTTAAACTCGTATAATGATGTGCCAATTATTTCTCAATAAAACAGGAGAGAGAGAGAGAGAGAGAGAGAGAGAGAGAAAGAAAGGATAAGATGAAAAGCCAAGATTCAAATTTAAGTTCTGGTTCAAGTCCAAGTCCTTTTTCCTGAAACAGGATCTTTGAGCTTATTTCTGTTTCCTAGAAGGTTGCACAGTAAACAATCAAATAATCTTTATAAAAGAATTACTTTTTTCAAACACTGTTTCAACAATAAAAAGCTTTTCTTACTTAATCCTGAGCATTTCTCTCTGATTTAAAGAGACTATATTAATGTCACCTATAAGATGCCGACTTTGGAAAATTAAATCAAGATCCAGGAGGGCGAATATGTCCTCCTTCCCGTCTCAGTTTATAGTTCTAAAAAAAACACACAAACAGGAAAACTAGAGCGTGCGACAAAGCTTGTCCTAAGAAGTTCTCTTCTAAAAACTTGGTTTAAATGGTTTTCAAAGTGGTGGCAGCAACTAATGTTTTTTTTTTTCCCTGCAAATCACATTGGCGATGACTTAGATGACCAAAAATTGAAGGAAGAAGTTGGAACTCCTTCCACCTTCTGGTCCAAGGTCACAATAGTAAGCAGTTTCTTTAACTTTTTAGCAGTTGGAACTGCTGTCCCTTGTAGAGAGACTTGGATTCAGGCAAAACACATTCTATGATTATAGAATAAAATGCAGATCAGCCAACCAAATGTGTCAGTCCCCTTAAAATGTGTAAGCTTTTGTCACAATTTAATTTTTAAAAATCTAAAATATTTACTTCATGAATTATAGTGGTGAGACTTAAGCTGAATTTTAGGGCTATTTTATTCTTTCTTCAAAAAGGGAACCGCCGGCAGTTCTAGTGTGAAGTCATTTTCTATTTTTAAAGAGATTGAATTTGAGACCATAACTGTTAGTGTGGCAGTTGCACAGGGAAAAAAACGAGATGAATAAATGGGTCTGAAACCCAGGCTAATGGAGCAATGCTTTTCAAAATCACATACACATTTATGTACTTCTCCTACCACTTATAGCTTCATTCATCATATGGCTTTTGGCCATGTCCTAGAGACTGTTTCCCATTCGAATGCATTTCTAACAGAAATTCCATGTCGGGATCATTCCCTTCTAAGGGAGAATTCAGATGGTGGCAAGAGAATCTAACTGCATTACAAATGTATGACAGCCTCGCTGAAGGTTAAAACTTTGGAAATGAGTAGAACCTACAAGTTTTAAACGAAAGGTACTGCAAGGAAGCACATTACTCCAGTTGATAGGTTTTGTTTGTTTGTTTGGTTTTACCATGAAGTACAGGTTAACAGTTCTGATAACTGTATTGTACAGGTAGCACTTAAACAAGTAAATCAAATGGCAGATAGATGGGGCCAGATTTCTCATGACTGGAATGGGAATTTACATATAAGCAAAGGGATAGGCTTATAAAATATGATTATATAAAAATATAAAGGAAATCAGGTGACATTTAGTTTATTTCTTATAGACTTATCACAACTAATCATATTCTATTTAATTATACTTTTATTATAATTCCACACACACATAGCCTTCAAGTAATTTTTAAAAAGTTAAAGGAACAAAACATAATAAAAAATTTTACTAGGTTCATGCATCTTGCTCAAATTTTTATTAGTCAAATAGGTCAAGTTTCTAAAAGTACCTGAGCTTAAAAAAAAGCTTAAATCAGTAATATTAATGATTAAGGTATATGTGTTATTAGCATCCAAGTAGCCCTCTTACACAAAACAAAGTTCATGATATAAAAATGTTCCTTTGTGAAAGTCAGACATAGTGAGAACTTGGCTATCACAGATCTGCCAATGGCAGGACAGTGTTGGTGCCCAAACTGGGTGTGCATAATAAGAGTAGCAGTGTCATAAATAATAAATATATGTGATAATTCCACTCTTATGTCCATTATGTGAGTATCATGTGTGAGCATCAAATGGGAGAAGAATGAAGAAAGTTTAGATCTCCTTATAAAAGCCTACAGAAAGTCTCCTTACCTGTAAAAATCATGCGTTTTCCCACTGTGGCAGACAGGGGCTCTCGATATGCCACAGATGCCATGGCCAAGGCTGTAACTGTGCTACTGGATTTACTTCCTTAGTTTCCTCAGACCAGTTATCTGCTCCAGCAAGAGTCAAAGATTCTGTGGCCTTTACTCTCCCTGTCTGTGCCCTGAGCTGAGTGGTTGCTAAGGACTCTTTATGACAGGCAGGTAGGGACTTCCTTCGGGCAGAGTTCAGTATTCCAGTCTCCGAGACAGCAATAGCATTCCCAGGAATTACATCCAATAATATCTTTCCCTCACCTGTCAATATCAAGTGAGAAGCTACCTGTTCAGGTGTCAGATCTAGAACAGGCTTGTCACAGATGACCTGGCAGCTTCCATCAACATTTCCCAAAGAACATTCTGCAGTGGGGTGTTATTGCAACAAACAAACGAAAACCACAAACCATGGTTAAATGCATTTAAGAAATGGGGTAGATAAAAATAAAATTATATTAATAGATGAATAAGATGATTTTATATACTATATTGCTTTCCAGCCCCAAATTCCAATACTTCCTTAAGGACAACATGTGCCTTGGTTATTAGCGATCCATTTACGGCTCCCATAACGTGTGATGCTCTTTCAGTCTTCTGAGCTTTACACGTGCGATTCATTCTTCCTACAACACTTGCAAATGCCTCCTGTCCTCAGAGTCAGAGCCCACACCTCCTCTTCTAGGAGGATGTCTGCAGACGTAGCAAAGCATGTTCTCCTGCATGCCCCTTTAATTATTTTTTAAAAAGATTTTAAAATCTATTTTTAGAGAGAGGAAGAGAGGGAGAAAGAAAGGGAGAGAAACATCAACATGTGGTTGCTTCTCTCGTGCCCCCAACTGAGGGCCTGGCCCGCAACCCAGGCATGTGCCCTGACTGGGAATTGAGGGCATGTGCCCTCTGGTTCACAGGCCAGCACTCAGTCCACTGAGCCACACCGGCCAGGGCCTTTAATTCTATAGTACCTTGTGTATACCTCTCTGTTTAACCCTTACCACTTCGTCTTGTCTATTTTGTCTGCTTCCCCACTAGACTCTCCCATGCGTGATTTTATGAAAAAGCATTTTTATTCATATTTCAATTTCTGGAGACTGCTATGCCATAGACATTTAATAAATGTTTGCGGGATGAAAAAACAAATTACCAGCGAATTCCAGCCTGCCCAGAAATATAATAGCGACCCCTGATAATCCATGGAATATAAGCTCTGATAGTAATTTCAAATTCAACACTAAGTATATGGGGTTCTTTCCTGAAAATGCAATATATTTTTTGTTTGTTGAGAGAAATGAAAATAAAAACATGGTGTTCACTAGAAAGAGGTTTGCTAGTATGATAGGCAGAGACACCACCCAGGTCCCACTTCAAGGAAGGGCTGTATCTCAGCTGCAGGAAGCGCTGTCAGCAGGCAACCTCCAGCTGTCAGCAAGTTCAAGGCCAGCTTTCCCAGTAGAGAACTGCCTCTTTAGTCTTAGGTCCAGCCCTTTCGGAGCAGCCCCTGTCAGGTGACTAAATCAGGAGGGGCTTGAACAACCAGTCTTTTCTGTCTGCTACTGAACGATTTTCTCCTGGTGGGCCAAGGCTTTGCTGAGCCCTCATCACAGTTCAGCTTCTTCCTCTGCCCAGTCCTACTTTGACCTCTTTCTGTCCATAGGTGTAGATCCCAAATAACCATCTTGACCCCCAACTTCCAGAAAACTTTACTGGTGACAACCAGACAGGCTACATGTATGTGCACAAATGTGATTTCAACCATTCATCCTTTCTAACCAGAAGATTATTGTATTTTCCCAGTACAGTCAGACTTTAGCTACTGATCTTCTTCAGTAGAGAATGGCTTCTTGTCATCTTCCTTGGTCATGACCGGCACCTCTCTTCTTTCCCTCCCTGCTGGCCCTCGGCAGTTTCAGAAGCTTTTCTCTTCCTTCCGAGGTGACCATGTACTGGTTACTGTAGTCAAGGGGTCTCTATCTTCAGGTGAAAGCTTCCTTCTGAAAATGACCTATTGGTGTCCTTGGAACTGCCATTTTCCACATCATCCAAGTTGAAACCTTCTCGTGGAAGATGGGATCCTGCCTATTTTGGGTACATCACTTGTGGTTTTCATGATGCTGAAGAGAGAAAGGAAGGAAAGACCTGAATGAGAAAAAATAATTTTTTAGTAACCAAAGCAGAAAATAATGAGATTTTGGTTTTGGGCTGAGGACTTCCCATGAACCTATCGCGAGAAATGTAGGCTTCTGCTTTGCCTTAAAGACTGTTAGAAATCTTACAATTTGTTGTGGGCTTAAGGTCAGCAATTCTGGTGGCAACAGGCTGGAAGAAAGTGGCCCAGAGGAGAAAAATCAGAGTTAGTGCTTTCCTATGAGATGTTCCACCAACTCAGTACATATTTAGGTTCATTTGTTTTGTTTCATTGTTTTAGAGATTGAAAAAATTATTTTATGCTCTGACTGGTGTGGCTCAGTGGATTGAGCACGTACCTGTGAACCAAAGGGTCGCTGGTTTGATTCCCAGTCAGGGCACATACCTGGACTTGTGGGCCAGGTCCCTAGTCAGGGGGCCCACAAGAGGCAACCACACACTGATATTTCTCTCCTGCTCTGTTTCTCTCCCTTTCCTTCTCTCTAAAGAGAAATAAATAAAATCTTTTTAAAAATTATTTTACAATTAAGTAAAATATTACATGGTTTTAAAGTAAAATCCTTAAAATCAGGGATATTTAGAGAAGTCTAGCTTTTATCCTGTCATCTCCATCCCATTACTTCCTTTTTCTTGTAGGAACATTTGTAAAAACTGTAAGCTTATATTTATAATCATATCCTCTTCCCCTTTTCCCAGGAAAACAGTTACAAACTAAACGCATGTTTTGCCACCTTGCTTTTTCACTTAACAGACTTGCCCATCACTCTGTGATATTACGTAAAGATATCTCTCATTTTTTACAGCTTCAAAATACTCTATTGTATGGATTTATCAGAGTTTATTCTAGCAATCCTCTTATTAATGGTCATATGGCTGTTTCTAATTGTTTGCTATTATAAAAAGTACTCTAAAGTATAGCTTTCTACATAGAGCTTCTCATGCACTTTACAGTACATCTTTGAGATAAGTTTCAAGAAGTGCAGTTGCCAGAGCAAAGAATAAAAGCATAAATAAACTTGCTTGATGTCACCAAATTCTCTGTGCTGGTTGTACCATTGTCTGAGAATGACTATTTCCACGGGGCCTCACCCACAGAGCATGTTGTCAAACTTCCAGATTTATGTTATTCTGGCAGGTAAGTAATAGTAACATAGTAATGTACATTTTTTTGTTACTAGCCAGATTGAACATCTTTTCATATGTTTAAGAGCCACTTGCATTATTTCCTGTGGTCCTTCTGATCCTATCTCCTGTGCATTTTCCTATAGGCCGTCAACCTTTTTCTATTCCACTTTTGAAAGACTGGGCTAACATTATAGAGAAGGACAACAGATGCCTCAACAGAGAACGACAATAAAATGTAGTGAGGGCAATGATGGTTACAGCAATACAGTCTAAAAAGTGCCATCGGTGTTCCTGGAGGCATGGGAACAGACAGGAGGGTCCCCGCCCCGGGCAGGAACAGGGTCCGTGCTCAGTGTGGTGAGGCGGGGGTCCCTGGAGGGAGTGCTGTGTGGACTGCTTCTCAGAGAATGGGCGGGGGCTGGAGGATGGGGTGGGCATGGAGGGCATTTTGGACAAAGGGGACATCTTGAGCAAAAGGCTCAGAAGGGAGAAACAACCAACAGAACTGTGCATAGCAAAAATACCAGAAGGTCAGCACTGCTGGAGGTCATGATCATGGCTAAGAAGCGGAAAGGGGGCTGGAGAGGCTCTCCAAGCCATTCTGGGGGCTTGGAGCTTTATTCTGTAGGCAGTGAGGACCATTGAAGGGTGTTAAACAGGCAGAGACTGGCCAGTGTTGGGTTCAGATAGAAGATGCTTGACTGTGTGCAGAATGAGCCTGAGGAAAAGGCTGGGGACAAGGGCCCCAGCAGGCAGCTGTTGAAAGAGTCCTGGAGCGTGAAGACGAGGGCCTGAACTAAGGCAGAGGTGACAGGAATGGAGAGACACGTTCAGGAAATGTGCTGAACTGAGGTCAGAAAAAGTCAGGATGACCCAGTTTCCCTGCTTGGGCGACTGATGAGTAGTAGTACCACAACATTAGTGAAAACAAAAGAAAGAAAACCAAGGCCAACCAACAAAGCAATGGTGTTAACTAAGTGGGGATTTGTCTGGGCTGCACAACACTTTAATAGAGCGGTTAAGCCCAAATAATCGTACAATGTTGTGACAGCTACTGAACTCATTATAGGGGATTAAAGATGATCTCCCATGGTCACCAGATGCGTTTCTGTTGGAGAAAATCCCTATTGTTTATGAAATAATAGCAGCCTCTTCTGACAAAACTCAGGGTTTGCTGCTTGGCAGGAATGACATTTTGGCTATTGTCTTGTCTGGCTAATTTCACAGCTACTTCAGAGTGGATCACTGCTTCAGCAGCATAACTGAGGAGGACAGAGCAGTGGCCCCACAGAAATGTCTTGTTCTAATATTTTGAAAGGCATTAAGTTATGTATTTTAATGACGTAGAAGTGCTACAAACTGGAAACTCATGCAACAGTGGTATAGATGTCCAGGTGAATGCAGGTCAGCATCTGCTAAAATGACATCCCAGTGTCAATGATCCCACTGCTCAGCACACTCTGTAAACTAGGGAACTTTGCCCCCCCCCTACCCCTCACCCCCCGTGCTAGTAAATCTCTCTTTGTAAGTTTCAGCTCCAAACATTTTTAGGTCCTTTCCCTGAATTCTAACTTTTGGGCCACAGTCTTGGCTTGGAGTCAGGGACTTGGCTTCGAATCTCAACCACCTCCCCAACTTACTGATGAGCTCGGGGAGTCCCAGAGTAAAGTGGCGCTGTTCTGTCTTGTTGTGTATCCAGGACAGAGAACGTAGAAATCCCAAGTCTGCTTCATTACTTCTGAGTGGTTAC